CTAAAGTCGTACGAATCTCGGAAGGTCAACACTTCACAAAGCACCGTAACGAAAAAATGCTTCGTTTCAGGGAAACAACTTACGCGACCTCTCGGTCCTAATTGCTCTAGCACAAATCATAAAACTACCTAACATCCAAACAGGAATGTAAGTTTTAATTGCGAATATCCGCAAACGAACCATGGTGTTCCTGCAAAGCAAGGTTAAGAGAAAACCCTCGCAACACCGCGCAACATCTTTGAGCCCGCAAACGTTCCGAACACGAAACGCGGCATATAAAATAAAAACCAACTTTCGGCACTGCGAGACGTCGCAAACTCCCGGAGATTAATTTTTCGACACAAATACCTTCCTCGATAAAGTCATTTTCTTGAAAGACCTAACAGTCCGTTCGCGACTACAAAATACGCAAAACTTCTTAACATACGTATCATTCGCGAAGGCCCAAACTACCTAAACATCTATCACTTAAAAATAGTTCGTTGCTGATCACAACGAACTCGCAACAGTCCTAAACAAACTTAAGTTATCTCGCAGAGATAGCTCTCGAACACCCGACACAAGGGTAATAGCGCTATAAAAGAAATCCAAACTTTTGGCCAGCACTTCCGGGCAACTTAGAAATTGTTCCCGGTGAGATGCTCGGTTCCAACCAGACGAATCGTATAAGCCGAGAACCCATCGCGGATTCTAAATCGGTATGGAATCAGGTTAAATTCACAACAGGCAAAACGAAAGCCGACTAGTCAACGCATAGCCTCAATCCGAAAGTAAACCTAGGTCTTGCCCTAAACCCAGCACACTGGTCGCTAACGTCTCAAGGCATGAATCGAGATCCTAAAGGCATGTCTTTTCGTCTATATCTAAACGCTCACTCGATTTGCTAAACATCCTAAAACGAGCAAACGAATAAGGCGATACACTAAGGGAAAGGAATGCGAGACGACAACTCGCGAACCTCCCTCAATATCAACTCATATTCTTCCCGCTACATTCATACGAATAAAAACACGCTCTTAAAAACGCAAACTGATTTTTAATAAAGCCGCAAAAGCGGCAGAGACTCAGAGCCGCACACGGGCAGTCCGGAAACTATAACGGCCACGCTCGGCCAGACCAAACGGCCTACGAGGCTAGTCTTAAGGCCGGCAAAGGTCCAGATGCCATGGACATCAATATGCTCGATAATTCCTACACGACATATAACTAGACCGTAAAGGTCTTGCTAGGAAACAGGTCATACGAACCTAAACTCTAAAACGAACTACGAAAGGCTTGATCCCCTCAAAAGGGTACGTAGGCATCCTTCACAAGGCGCAGCCCTAATCTTAAACACATTCCGCTTCCTGGAGAATGGGAAGATCACTCTCAACGGACCTTTCCAACCATTAATTCCGCCTAATTTAACTAAAACTGGCTAACCACTCGCAAGAACCTTACACTAGAAGCTCAAGATTCTAGCGAGCTGGGGGGCTAACTGTTGGTGTCAAAATCGGTCACGACGGAATCAATGGCTAAAAGTCTCCGCAAAAGTAAAAATAAAAATACGTTTTATAAAACTCGAGAGATCGTTTCATAAAACTCGAGAAATCGTTTTATAAGACTAGAGAAATCGTTTTATAAAACTTGAGAGATCGTTTTATAAAACTCGAGAATCGTTTTATAAAACTAAAAGAATCGTTTAATAAAACTCGAAAGATCGTTTTATAAAACTCGAGAAATCGTTTGATAAGACTCGAGAAATCGTTTTATAAAACTTGAGAGATCGTTTTATAAAACTCGAGAATCGTTTTATAAAACTCGAAGAATCGTTTTATAAAACTCGAGAATCGTTTTATAAAAACTCGAAGAATCGTTTTATAAAACTCGAGAAATCGTTTTATAAAACTCGAGAAGTCGTTTTATAAAATTCGAGAATCGTTTTATAAAACCGCGAAAAACCAAAACCACCAAAACGTGAACTAGTCACGACTAGTTCGCCTGCTGGCGAACTAAGCCAAGCTAGCTTAGTTCGCCAGCAGGCGAACTAGAAGGTTCCCGACTAGTTCGCCAGCAGGCGAACTAGAAGCTTCCGACTAGTTCGCCAGCAGGCGAACTAGAAGCTTCCGACTAGTTCGCCAGCAGGCGAACTAGGAACTTCCCGACTAGTTCGCCTGCTGGCGAACTAAGCCAGCTTGGCTTAGTTCGCCAGCTGGCAAACTAAAGATTTCCCGGATAGTTTGTCAAACCGGCGAGCTGAATCGGTCTGGCTCGATTCTCCGTACGTTGAACCGACCATCCCGAGTCACGATCTCCCGCATCCCCGATTCAAAACCTACGTCCTTCGACACGGTCGCATTCTGAACCACGGCCGGAATTTCTCTCGTTTCGTCTTGATCCGACTTATCGTTCGAATTTTACGATAAAAACCGTAAAACTCCGTTTTCTCAAAAAGAACTCGAAAAAATCGTATAAAACGGTCACGGTTAAAAAAGACACCGAACATCGCCTAATCTATACGATTTATCCGAGATTTTTCGTTAAAGTCGTAAAAAACGTATTTTTAATAAAAACGTCGAGTAAATCGTAAAAAAAGCGTTTTTAATAAAACTGTCGAGTAAATCGTAAAAGACGGAAACGATTAACCGAGAAACAAACGTAGCTAAACATTACGATTAACTCGAGGAATTTACTAAAAACGGCATCAAATCAGGAAACGATTCCGTACAAGGTCGAGAAACGGATTTATCGCAAAACGGCCCGGAAGGTCCTAAAACGCGATAAAAGCCCATCTCGCGATCTCAACAAAATCTAACCCGAAGATACGATAAAGTTTTGGCGGTTTAGTCGCAGAAGGAAAATAAATGTCAAGCTTGAAGATAAAAGGCAAGTTTGAAGACGAATTCGGAATAAGAATCCTTCTTGCTTTCAATCTCGTTTTTATTTTTATATCTTTCAATTTATTCATATTAATCGCGTTCTTGGTTACTTGTCGTTGGCATTCGCAGAGATCCGGTTCCTCTGGAAAATTAGGGTTTTCCTAAATTTCCTTATTCGACAACAATCATCGCCACAAACTAAGTACTTTGTTTTGATGTTTTCAGTAGAATCGATCGGTGATTTGGTGAAGGAAGTTTAGTTAAGTATGGTTGATTCTGAGATATTTGTTTCTGATGGTTTAGTTTCAGATTTTAGCTTGTCTATCCACTGATTATCATGAATTTTGAGTGATTTTATTTATTTATTTTTTCTTAGTTTTTATTTTTGAGATTCGGAGAGATTCAATCGGTTCGCTTGGATGGAGATTTCACATATGTGAGTTGTCGATTAGGTTGTGTAACTTTCCATGGATTTGTTCTTGTTGGTGAGTATTCTGATTTTGAAATCGTAGATGGGTTCTGAGCTTATGATCTTCTGGATTCATCAATTGATTTCCTGCAGGTTTCAACATCTCCTTTGGGTCTAACAAAAAACCTGACTATGATGATTCGAATCCTAATTGCAAGTGTAGTGAGAATCCTGATCCTGATGGTAATTGTTTCACTTGAATGTATTATCATTTATGTGTTCTTAGTATTGGTTATGATCTTTGTAACTTCTCTTTGGGATTGCTGACCTCATCTTCCCAAGTATGCTTGCATATTTACGTCCTTTACGAGCAAGATAAGCACGTGTCTCCCACCATTTTTGCAGGACAGGTAGTAGTAACTGCAGTTTCAGTCTCCATCTGGTTTATCTTTTGTCTAAGCTGATGAGACAGCACGTGCTAAATTTTAAAGACAAAGATAAAGACCCTTCCACAGTCTCTCAGAGACTCTTAGGGAAGCTACCGAAAGTGAGTTAAAAGAGTGTTTGCAGAGTTTCCAAAGGAAGCTACGAGGAAAGAGGTTGAGTATCATATTCGTGCTTATCTTAGATACCTTGTTGGTAACACGATTTTTGCACTACAGATCCAAGTAAGATCTCTGTGGATATCTTATATGTTTGAGGATTTTGAGAAAGCTGTAGAATATGCTTGGGGTTCTGCTGCGTTAGGTTTCTTGTATATGTAGATTGGTGAGGCTTCTCAACGTACGGTCTCAGAGTATCATTGGTGGATGCTTGACACTTTTACAGGTTTTCTTTCTCTTCATTCTCTCTCTTGTTGATTAGTTTTGTAAACTCTAATTGTGTTACTACTATCACGTCTGGACTTTTTAGAATTTCAAAAAAATCCTATCAATAATCTACAAAATTTGCAAAATCCTTAGCTTTGTTCATAGACATAAAAGTAATCATTTAATATGTTAAGGACACAATTTGGATCCTTCCTATAATGTTGCTCTTAGTAGAATGTAAGTTTCGTTTTTACCTGCAAACGGTGTGTGAAGGGAAGGATACGTCAAGAAGCAGGCATCGAGGTCGTATCGATGGAATAATGGAAGAGAAGTTCAAGGGTACTGGTTTGCTTGAAAATGGTGAATAAGCTAATATTTATTCGAGGATCCTTGAACGCCTGTTTTAATTATAAGTTTGCTCTTTTCGTCACTTTGATTCTCTATGTGATTTATGGTATGCAGTGTTGTGTTGCATGTAAAATAATTTAAAAGAAGTGATGGTAAAATTTATCATCAAAGTGTACTTATTTTTGGTCTTTTATTTAGAAAAAAAAATCTCATTTAAACATGTTTAATTTAGAATAGTGGAATGAATGACTTATCAGAAAATGAGTTTTGGTATTGTGTGACTGATGTCAAATTACAGGAAAATATCACGTAATGATGTGAGGGTAAATAAATGAGTTATAAACCTCCAAATTGTGTTAAAAAACTCCAAGTAATGAAAGAACGATTTACCGATCACCGGATGTAGACAGAATCTAACGAACCGATAAAACGAGCGTGGAACCTACGGTCGGTGGCAATCATGAGGTTACAGTTTCATTTTATTTTTATTGGAGTCTCACTTTTTGAGATTAATCATACACTCATTTGGGATTTCATTATACATTCATTTGAGATTCTAGTTTTTGGAATGAACATACACACTCATACAAGAGAAAGCTTATGAGTTCTCATTATTAATTTGACCATAAAATTTGGAATATATCAATTTAAACATTCAAGTATTATTAAAATGATGAATTTTGGATCCATCAATTTCTAGTAAATTAACTTCAGCCAAGTAAATTTTCAGTGGGAATTTGATCTTTTAGTAAGTTGGTATCTCATCATCTTGAGGATTTTATAGAACCAGAAAGCGCTCACGAGTTGTAATCCCAAGGCCATTGCCTATAAGATAAACAGATGTTATATTTCAGATGTGCTCTATGATGAAAATAAACAAAAAGTGCGGGCAGTTTCTTGATAAAATATTGGAACGATAATATGCTGAGAAGCCCTTTCTCAAAAACAAAAACAAAAAACAATAATATTCTGAGGTTCAAAAAGTATTACATTTTATAAAACCTATATAAGGAGAAATTGATGAAATATAATAAGTCAGAGTCTCAAAGATCAAAACGAAATTCGCCATGGCCGCTTAAAATATATTCTCAAAAAACGCGAAAAACATCTTAAATAAAGAACAATATTAATTTACCTTGATGAGGAAGGGATTATGAGCTGATATCGTGACGTAAACGAGATAAGGTCCACCCACCATTCTCGCTAATGAGAAGATTATTGCAAAACACACCTACATCATTTATAATTAAGTAGTGAATTATCACGCCATGTTCTTAGATGAATTGTAAAGTAATTTAACTATGGTTTGACTTCGTAGGATTCAATGTACTTAACTACTACGTTTTATCATCACCAAAATTTACAAGATTTGCCAAATAACTAGTGTTAATAATATTTTCTCTAACGGTGTTTTTGTTTTGGTCAACATTATTATCCTACCTCACGTTAATGACAATATTAATTCTATTTTTATTAGAGTGTTATGTATAATACTCACATCAGCGGCAAGATTGAGATCGGTGTCTCTATAACCAATCTCTTTTAGAATCACCCTGAGGTTAAGAAATGGAGTCGAGATCTCTGCTATCCACAATGCTGCCACTATCTCAGATCCACACTTAAATTCACCATACACCAGGAAAAAAATCAATTATCTATCCAGAAACCCAATAGTAAATAATATTATTTTACCTCTCGGGAGCAAAGTCCAACTACGAAACCAAGAATGGAGATAGAATGATGAACCGAATTATCAATGCTTAGGACTTGATCAAAGTGACTACAAATGAGATCATAGATCATGTAAGACAACGAAAACGCCATCGTTTCCATCTGCTGGATAGTTGACTTGGAAGCAGTGGGACAAACTGGACAAGACCAATCTTGAACTGTAAGAGTTGCTAAGACGACAGCAACTGTGGCATGAAGTGCCGAGACAATACGAGTGCTGAAATCGAATGAGTATTTTGAGAAAACTCTACGGAGGACGATGAAAATCAGACCCCATGAGAATACTCCAAACACTGTTATGTTAATCACTCTTATGTAGTCTTCCTCCATTGATCTTGTTTCTTATAATTTCCTTTCTGGTTTCGGAGACAAGAAGTGTGTTTTCTAAGAACTATTTATGGTTTTCTTGTTTGGACTTCTGGTGTTATTAATAGGCCAACATAATAGTTTCTTGTACGTTGGAGCATCGGAATTTCTCAAATTAAATACTAAAAGTACAAATATAAAATAATTAATTATTTTTAGTTATAGTTATAGATGGCTCAATTTATTATAACTTTGATTTCAAAATATTCAAAACAATAGTTTATTTATATTAATAATTTACTGTAACTTTAATTTTTGATAAGATATTACATTAAATATCACTTAGTTAGAACATTCGACAATGTGGGTAATTTATTTTATTTTTTTATCCTTTCAATAACGATTATCTGATTTTTAAAATTCTCGAAAGAATTAGTAAATAAAACCGATAAAGCTTATGTTAAGGTAAAAATGTCAGGTAATTTGCGATAATCAAAAGTAATGTTTTATTTATGTTAATAGCAAGGTTACACCATATTGTGTTTAAACCCTAGTTCTAGCTCCATGCTTCTTAGTGAAGTGTTCAATGCTGAATCCCCTCTTTAGGAATTAGGGGTTTAGGATCCCTTATATATATAGTTCTTGGTGAGATAAATATTAGATGTGACAATATCCTGAGGTATGAGAAAAAAATTCTTTTATCTAACAGTTTTATTTTAGCTTAGAAGCAGGAGAAACGCATGACCCAAAGGCTGGAACCCAGAAAACTAGAAGCAAGAACTCTGCGTCCTGCTATATCTAGGAGGATATATAAAGAATAATTATTTCCCAACAGTTTGATCCTTATTTTTCGAGTCATGTTTGAAGTCGAAAAATATTTTGTGTTTATTGGATGACCTGAGTTGTGCTTTGGCAGCAGGTTCCTTGTAGCTTAGAGAGCATGACGTCACCTCTAAGGTTGCTTAAGATGCCATGGCATAAGCCACCTAACAATCTTATCGGAGACACTTTGATGCAAGGGCGTAATGCCATATGATCATGTCTCTTTACATTATTAGTCATTGGGCCTGAGCAATAGACTAATCTGAATGGTCGAATGGTCCAGTGATGGAGTTTAACCGTGTAGGCACATGGCCGTATGGCCTAAAGTCTTGTTGGATATGCTATGTTGTGGGTGAAAGCCCTTGTAGTTGATTAGAATAATCCGGTCTAAAGGACGCATTGCCAGACCATATGGTAGGCATGTAGATATGATCTGTGATAATCATATCATCCTGCTCGTGAACAAGAGAATGTAATATGAGTGATGTATATAACCCAGAGGTTAAATGAGTATTTCTTATCTGGTATGGGATAGATGGACTGGATCAGAAGCTCATACTCAAGAACGTGTTTAATGTAGGTAATATCGTCCCAAAAAACCATGACTAGGAGGCTGAAAAAGAGTCAAAAATAATGTTACCATGAACATGCATCTGGGTCTAGGTGGAAATGTATATAAACCAGGAAGTTTCCGAACTCATACAAAAAGAACATTTGGAAGACTTAAGCTTCATGATGTACTTCATCACTGTTTAGAATGCTTACTGCAACTGAGCAATGTAGTCTTCTGCCTCTAATGGTTTCATGAGCATGTCGTGTAAACTCCATGGTCTGGCTGATTTTCTCTGCAAAAATCATGTTTACCAGTCTCTGGTAAGTGGATTTGGCCTTCTTTAAGCCGAAAGGCATGATCTTACCATAGTGGATAGAGCTTAATGTCATAAATGACGTTTTCTCCTACTCATCCAGGTGCATGAGTAGTTGGTAATATCCGGAGAAAACGTTCATGAAAGTTATCAATTGATGTCATGCCATGGCGTTGATGTCAGGCCGAGAAAGAGATCTTTTACGCAGGATTTCTTGAGGTTTTAAAGTCTATACAGTCTAGTGATTTACATTCTTGTACCACTACGACGTTTTCCAGCCAATCTGGGTATTGCATCTCTCCTAAAAACTCGGCATCCAGTAAGGTAATGATATTTTTTGATTATAGAGTCTCGTTTTGGAGTGAATTTGTGTATTTTCTGTATTATTGGCTGATTCATAGAATTGACTGGCAGCTTGGGCATGATTACCTCGCAACCAATACAAGGCATGTCCACATGGAATCAGACCAAGCAGTTGGAGTTTGATCAGACCAAGCAGTCAGAGTTTGGTACAAAGGATCAACTGCTTGGTCCGGTTCAAAAATGAGCCATAACTCACCATCGTGAAAGAGACGACAAGGACATTGTGGTACAGAGCCAGGATTTTTTCGTGTGAAATTTCGTGAGTGAGGTTAATCATAGGAGAGGAGTGAGCTGACGTGACACATTCTCCTTTCTTGTGCGAGGCTGATGTGGCAGCACATGAGAAAAGAGATTAAAATAAAAATTATTTTATTAATTTTATGAAGTATTTTTAAAAATGTTATAGATTAAAAAAATATATTAATAAATTTAAGTCAAATAATAATAAGATGAGGAATGTGAGATAGAACAGAAAGTAATATGTCAATTTTAATGCATTGAAATTAATTTATGGAAAGAAATATTACTCTATTATATATATATATATATATATAAACATGTTTATTTATTTATAGAATAAAAATATTAAACTCTCTCAAGTTAATGCCAATTTTACATAGTTGTGAGATGAAACATATTTTAGCTTAAATGAATTTATATTTTTTTTTCTAATATTATGTAGGAGAATGCATGAGATATTGGAGCTTCGTTTACCATTCTTAGATTGTTATAATGGATCATGTGACTCAACCGATATTGTTCTCGTGTTTTTTAGGTGAGGAATATATTGAATTACATGTTCAGTGGACCTTTTAACATAAGGGCATGTGAGCATCCAATGTTTTTCCCCTCTATAAAGTAAGATAAAGCATCAAGGAACAGATAGCTTGTAAAATATTAGAAATATTGAGATTGTAAATTAAAAAGCAGAATAACAATAACTGAGGAAATTGTTCTGGAGAGTTGAATTAATAAAGATAGAACGGTGAAGATACGTAGTACGACAAAGCGTGTGATGGCTGTTGCATCGAGATGCTAGTTTAGTTCAATGAACTGAATGAACTTCACAATTTGTTTGTAACAGAAACAAACTTTGCAGGGGCTGTCAAGCTCTTGGAGTTTACATTTCCTTGGTGGCATGATTAAAATCATGTTAGTGCCATATTCATTCCTTCTCACGACGGGGATGGTGCGTAGTGATCATGTCATCAATAACGGGGACGCTACTTCCCCTCGTATCACTCCGGCGACAGTCATCAGGCTCTGCAAGACGTTTAGATGTATTATTCATCTTGACAGAATACAATTCTCACAATTTCAATACGTGTGGAATATGCAATGGGACTATATAGATACCTATATTTCATGTCTGAAGTCCATTTAATGGACAGTTACATATTTGGTTGTCAAAGTGAGAGGTCACATATCTCATAGCAGCTATGTCATTTTAAACTGAACACTATATGAATCCAAGACTTAGTTTACAAAGGAGCTAGTCAAATATCCACATCCACATACCTTTACCAACTTCATTGTAATAGGTGATGTTTCTCCTCTGGCTCTATAGGAGGGCTGACATTGCAGTTGATGGGGAGTTTGATGTATCCTGGTCAAGAAGCGACAAATTAGGCAACCAGTTTCAAGAAGATGCGTGAGGAAAACACACAAACAGATTACTATTGTACATACCTCAGATGTGGTTGTAGTGTAAGAGACATTCCTGTCAGAAGCAAGCAAAGACAGTATATCTCTAAAGGAAGTGGTGTTTCTTGCTACATTATATGATACTTAAAATATCTCCTAATGTATATATAGGCCGGAAACTTGCGTCGAACTATTGAAAGGCATTAGGGTGCTGATACCTCATTCCACTGATATACTTATCCTTAATTCCCTAACAGACATTTCACTGAATATGTGGTGAGCTATATGAACTAATCGATGGAAACCAAAATACAATATGTAGAATTACCTCGGTAGTCATATCTTCCCTTGACTCGTATCCAGAATTCAAATAGTTTTTACGCGTATCCCAAAACAGAAATCCCTAATGTTCAGTAGGCTGATATAATTAGGTGGAAAAACTTTAAAGAACCAAATAGGGAGGGTGTGTTAAGGTCTGATTACGTTACCTCAGACGTGTTTTGGAGTCGCGTGTCTCGAACCCAACCCGTTTGACCGACAAAAAGCTATGAATCGCTTCAATGCGTTAGAGACAGATGATGGTGGAGACTCGTCTCTACCGGAAATTTCTGAACGGATTAAATAACTTCGTACAATATGGATCTTCACACAGCGAGCAATCACAGCGGAATCCATGACGGCTATCTTCGTGTTAGAAGACGAACCTTAATTTTGTTGATGAGGGAGACGTAAGCTGAATTTAGTACTCTTGACAGGCCATAGAGCAGAATAACGTCGGTGTGTGGAGTTAAGAAGGGAATAATGGCGCTGATTTGTAACTCGGATGGTTACGGTTGTCAAGAGTAGAAGTCAAAACAAACAAAGAGACTCTTCATCTCGATTTCAGTCATCCAATCTCTCCAGACGCCATTGTTGGTAGATGAGAAAGCAAAAAAAAAATTAAGGTCTCAGAAGAATACGATGATGAAGACTAAAGAGAACCACTCATATTTTTGGCTCTAATTATTATGATTAACAAACATAAGCCCACCAAATCCCCTTCCTCTCGTTAAATGGAACGATGCGTTTTGATTAATTGGACACATGTCGCACTCAGGACATTTGAATTGATGAAGTGACAGCCTTATGTGAGGGAAAACCTTATTATATATATATAGATCTTATACAATAAAATTAAGTAACGCATGTACTCCATTTTCCTTTCAGATGTTCTGTGTCTGCTCGAATCCGCAAGAAACCACACATGTGCGAAACCGTCTATGTAACGCATATACTCCATTTTCAGGCGATCAATTAATTGTTGTTAATGATTTCATCCATTCATCTTCC